GATATTTATGCAGCTTGAGGACAAATTAACAAAAGTTCTTGTCAGAGATGCAGCCAGTGTACAAGGAAAACATAAAGGTTACCAAACCACAGGGAGCCACACCAAACAACCCTTTCAGTGTTGTACCGTTTTTTTAATTCGAGGTCTCTGACTGCAAGGTGAGAGATGATGCTGTCTCCAGTGTGATCTCTGTACAGTCCAGTACGACACGGACATTTGGAGAATCTGTGGGGCATGCTTGTTTTGACTTTTTCTCTGCTAATCCACATTTTGATTGATGAAAAAACAATAAAAATGTAATTTGCCCAGGTGATTGTAACTCTGCTGACTGTAGCAATGCTCATATTAAACATGTCAGCAATGAGCTGCTCCTTCATGCCAACTGCATYCCTGAATGAGTACATTAAAAACTCATCGTGGCATGTTGCATATGGGACTGGGACTAGGACAGGCTTCTTCGTCAGTCCTTTGTGCTTTGGTCCAGTACACCAGCTGGGATGCAGAAGGTTCAACACTCCCAATAGATCCAGAGCATGCTGTCAGATGTGGTGTAAAACTGTATCTGATCATCTGAAGCACAGTAGCAAATAAAGAGATTTGGTGACGTCACGTTCACCAGCTTGGTCTCGAGATCTTTTATGTGATCAAGGCCATCATCAAGTGCACCTATAGAGAAGAGCAATATATGTACTGTTAATTATAGCAATAACCACGTAGTTTGCAAAATTCAATAACATCAGTATTTGGCTAATGTAAATATTAAACTAAGTTTAATTGCTTTCCCTACAATTTACATAAGCCTATGAAACTGTTACATTTAAAATAATATCCATGCAATGTATGATATTATTATTATATTAATCATNTGTTGAAATAGTTCAGATTTTACTTGCTCCTGTCATTGGTCTACAGACAATTAACAAGTTGAAAACACTCATTGAACAGCACTTGAAGCACATGAAAACCCTTTTTCCAGATAACAACATCACACCTAAACAGCATTATTTGATTCACACACCATCCCAAATTAAACTTTTAGGACCAGTGGTTCGTCATATGTGCATGAGATTTGAATCAAAACACTGCTTTTTTAAACAATGGGCATCAAAAATAAATTTTAAAAATGTTTGCAAGTCTCTAATAAGGCATAATCAAATGTATGAATGTTGTAAAAATGTGAATAATTTTGATCACCCCATTTTTTCWAACGAATGCACATTAGGACCAACATCAGAAATAAGCAACATGTCATACTTAAAAGAAAAGATGAGGGTCTTCGTTGGAAATGATGAGGTAAARCATGCAGTGAGTGTTAAATGGCTAAATCTAAATGGTAACAAATACATGAAGGAAAAGTCATTAATTGTGAGTGCTATTGATGCTAGTGGTTTACCTGTATTTGGGRTTGTGAGAAATATCTATGTGATCAATTCATCTTTTTATTGTTTTGAATTYCAACAGCACAACACCATTTGTTATGACAGAGCTTACATGTCATATAGGATAGAGATTCCAAACATGGCACAAGCAACAGAACTGATATCGGCTGATAATGTAATAGATTTCACTCCATACTACAGTTTTACACACAAAGGTATGACCTATGCTATTATGAAATATTACCTGGGTGATGTAATTGGACTACACACGAGCTTGCATGATGCATTATAAAATGTACTGTTTTACATGGATGGACACTATCGTCAGGTTATTGTTTCAGACAGTTTAGCAGCAATTTTGYAACTTAAGTTGTTGCCTTTTCTAGCACTGAGTTTTTATTGTACATGGCTGTTTGTCATAGTGAAGTAAAAGAAATTCTAAAAGTGTTAATCTGCTTGATCAAGTYAAATATGATCTGTATGATGTTTTTCTAAATGAGGCTTGCTTAACAGTGTTTCATATTTAGTATGTTCTGTGAGTCTTGCAGCTTTTATTAATGTAAGACTGCATGTTGTGTAAAGCATTATGATATAAAATTTGTGTAATTAAATACATTTCTTAAATTAAGAAGTTGTTTATAGCTTTACTCTTAAAATAAGGAAAATAATTAT